GAGAGTGAAGCCTTCCACCATGCATTTGAGCAATGGAAGAAGGTTGATCAAGGTGCTGTTCCGGAAGTTTACTTACGACTATTTTAACTATTTCTTTTGTTTATGGATGAACTGACCGAAGAAGTACGAAATGAATATCGTTGCACATCTAGAACATAGCTACACTGTTGTGACATGATTTAAGTTTGTCTTATGAGTCCTTCCATACAAATACTCGTATACTTTGACTGTCTTTCTCCTTGTTGTGCAGTGTTGCATGCTTGTCAATTACTCTGCTTTTATTTACTCTTGCAGGAAAAAAATTACCAAATGGAGAACTATCATCTACCAAAAGCAAGTTTGACGACAAAATAGAGCCATCTTCTGCTAAAATGTATTTCCATTACTATGGACAACTGCTGCATCAACAGAACATGTTACAAGATTATGTGAGGACAGGTTAGTTCACTAGTTATACTCTTGATTATTTTCAATTTCACGGTTCTTTGAATTTGGATCAGAGAAGTTCTCTTGAGCTTTAAACTCAATGCTGTAAATTTATACCAAATTTGTTAGTTTGCAGTAAAAAGTGCTATTAGTTGATGTTGAATATGTTAGTGATGTCCTATTTATCTTTCTTCAGGAACCTATTATGCTGCAGTCAGAGAAAATCGTGTGGATTTTACTGGTCGTGTGGTTGTCGATGTTGGTGCTGGTAGTGGTATTTTGTCATTATTTGCTGCTCAGGTACACTCTGCTCTTTGATTAACTGGATATTTATAGAAATCATTTGCTCTTTGTTCTGGCATACATATTTTCTCCTTATTAACAGTCTTCTATTTATTCTCTGCCCCATATAGGCTGGTGCTAAACATGTTTATGCTGTGGAAGCATCTGAAATGGCAGAATATGCACGCAAGCTAATTGCAGGGAACCCTTTACTGGGTCAAAGGATAACTGTGAGGCTTTTGATGTAATTTTTAACTTTCCTGTCCTCTTTACTTATTATTCCTGTCTTCTAATGGGGCCATATGTCATCTACATATAGGTAATCAAAGGTAAAGTCGAGGAGGTTGAATTGCCTGAGAAAGCAGATATCCTTATCTCGGAGCCAATGGGTAAGCCTTTATATATTTTCTGTAGACATTCACGAGCAGTTTGTCCTGCTCTTGTTGATGTTAAACTCATATTTTTCTACCTCTGCTTTTGTTCTATTTTTGGCAACATCTGCTCTAATGATACCATACCTAATATAACATTTTGTTTATCATGGCTTTAGGCACCTTGTTAATTAATGAAAGAATGCTGGAAACCTATGTGATTGCAAGGGATCGGTTTCTTCAGCCAAATGGAAAAATGTTCCCCACATTGGGAAGGTAAAAGCCTATATTTTTGACAGCTTACATACTGAGCTCTAATTCCACCATGGAGCAGTGAAATTGACTGGTTGCACCATTATTAAAGGGTACTACGTATTTATTACGACCCAAGTGCCTACATCAAAATGTCAACATTAGTTTATCCGGGAAAAAAAAAATATCAGCTTTGGAATATTTAGCCTTTTTATTTTCTTAGACAACAGATCTGTTCCCAGCAATAAAAAATTTATCAGTGCATATCAGGACTACTTAGGAAATTCTTGCAGTGCTTTAGTCACTATTCATGACAAAATATTCTATATAGTATTACCTACATGTTGCGTGATCATGTTATTTTTCTCTTGGGTTTGGTGATGCAATATGAGATTGTTTCATTTATATCTTTTCCTTTAGTTTTTCTCATAAATTCAAGTTGATGCAGGATTCACATGGCACCTTTCAGTGATGAATATTTGTTTGTTGAAATTGCAAATAAGGTGCTTATGTCGTCATCATTTTCCCTTAATTTATACAAGGAATGACATTATGCATGGATAACCATTCAGGAACATGTAACCTACGAGCCATGTATAATGCAGCTGATCTAAAAGAATATTAGATCGGTGTTATGAACGTATAGCGCAATCACTTTCCTTCCTTGTTTGATGTATATTAATGTTCTTGTTTTGCATGTATACAGGCCCTCTTCTGGCAGCAACCAAATTATTATGGTGTTGATTTGCAACCATTGTATGGATCTGCATTCCAGGGATATTTTTCACAGGTCTAATATTTCTTATAGATTCCTAAAAAATATTGCGTTCACTTATTGGTTGACGAATGCTTATTGTCTGCAACTGATATTATGTGCGCACATCGAGATATTGATCTGGTTTTGCAACCATGATTCACATGTCTAGGGTAAATAAGGTCTCGAGTAATAGAAGTTTATCCTTTTTTTAGATTTACTTTCGAAATTTGCTATATTAAAATTTTGTTCTAGGATTTCCTGGTATCTTCCTATCTCCTATTCCATGAAATCAGGCTTTTGAAGCAAAGAGGATTTTGAAATGAACATTGCCTTTGTTTGTTTGTTTGTTTTTTTTTTTTTTTTTTTTTTTTCCTGAGAGAAAGCAAATTGTACCCTTAGGGGGGCGTTTGTTGCTCGCAATAGGCTTGTTTTGGACCAATTGTAGGGACTGGTCTGGATAGGCTCGCGATAGGCTTGTTTTGGACCAATTGTAGGGACTGGTCTGGATAGGACCAATTGTAGGGACTGGTCTGGATAGGCTCGCGATAGGCTTGTTTTGGACCAATTGTAGGGACTGGTCTGGATAGGCTTGGCTTGTTTTGGATTGGGCTTTTTTGTGGCCCACCTTTTAAATGGCTTAAATTAAGCCCTGTTTAGTGAAGGTGTAATGGTAATTAATCCAGTTCTTAAATAGCACCTAGTTTGCACCAACTTAGATTGGGGTTAATAACCCGATCCCAGTTCTTTTCCGGTTAAACAAACGAGGACAAACCAAGTCAAACTTGACAAGTTAAACTCTTGGCATGCTCTTCACATGTTAAACTCTCTGCATTTCCCATTCTCTCTTATCCGGTTAAACTCTTGGCACGCTCTTTACTATCCATGATCTTGTGAAATAAGGGATAGCTACAACCCTATGCCATCACAATTAAAGTACCTTGTTCCTTTTTAGTTGATTGGTATAATGTATCGATTTGCTTAGGCCTTGGAGCTACGGGTTTATGAATCCAATGGACATATGCTGCATCAATATTTGTATTACCAAGGCTTTTCCAATTCCCTTAGACTGATATGGCTGAATTGCCTTGTTGGGTGACCGTTTAGCACTTCAATGTTTTAAGATTATGTCTACAAAATGTTTGATTGGTGGTTGTTTTGGTAGCTCTGATTTGGTGATGTGCTGAATTATTCTGTTTTATTCTGGTACAGCCTGTGGTAGACGCTTTTGATCCAAGATTACTGGTGGCTCCTTCAATCTCTCATGTGATTGACTTTACCAAAATAAGTGAAGAGGACTTGTATGAAATTGATATACCGCTACGGTTTACAGCTGCAGTAGGCACTAGAGTGCATGGGTTAGCATGCTGGTTCGATGTCTTGTTTGATGGGAGGTAACCATCTGAATCAATGAATCAATGAATCAATGATCTTGTGGAATCAATATAATCTTCTGCATTTCATTTATGAATACAAAGTTGTGGGTCTCATAACTTCTTTAACATTGCTTACTTACAGTACCGTACAAAGGTGGCTTACCACCGCGCCTGGTGCACCAACCACCCATTGGTACCAATTACGTTGCGTTCTCGCTCAGCCAATTTATGTGATGGCGGGACAAGAAATCACGGGCCGACTCCACATGGTTGCCCACAATGCTCAAAGTTACACAATGTACCTCACATTGGCAGGTCAGTGTCTAATATAACACTCGTTTTGGCTTCAGATTTCTTTTTTCCGGTTTTCTAACGAGTTTATTGGCTTCACTCTTCAGCTAAAATGTGGGGTCCTGGTGCCGAGCAAGGAGGAATAATTCAGCAATCTTCTTGTAAACTTGATCTCAAGGAGCCCTACTATAGAATGTCCCAACCGCAAGCGTACACAATTGCCCAAGATCCGCAACCACATCAGCAAATACAGACTCAGGTAAGGGGCTATCACCGTCAACTGGACCCTATCCTTCTGATTTATTTGAGTTATTGTTTTTCGGGTCAAAGCATAATGATTAACTAAATCACCAGGGCCTCTATGAGCAACATAAAAAAGTATACATACCAGGTTTTGTCCTGCAAACGTTTACTAGAAAAAATGCTCTTGCTCTGCCTGTCAAGAGAGTATGCTAATGCGGTTTATGTTGTTACAGGATATACCCATTCAGTCCCAGGATTTGGAAGATTCTGAATTTTTTCCACAACCACCATCACCGACTTCAGGAACAAAGATCTTACTGGAAGAGTTTGCCAAATCCGCGGGGGCTTGGAAGAACGTTTGATCTCTGTTTGTTTGTAACATAAACTGTTTTAACTCTAGCAACTGCTAGGGATCCCTGTTAGTCGTCCACCGCATCCCGTTTAACTGGTCTCTCACTCCCTCCATGTCTTAGGGTTGAACCCCTGTAAATTAGATATTCATTTGAGTGGCTTGTGCAGCAGATTTATGCAAATTTTATCGTGCTTTCACCAGCTTATGAATGAGACTCGGTCTGTTTTCTAGGCGATCGACCACCTGCAGATACGCTTCCTAACTGGTTATGTCAATTTGAAATGCCAAGGCACCAGTAATGTCTCCGTTGCGAGTTGAAGGTTCGCTCGGACAACCTGTACCGTCGGAAACTGAACCCAGAAAGTAAGGGATTGGATCGACTGATTTTGTCAAAAGGAAAATCTTTGAAATAGCTGCGTAGACACTCGACGGTTCAGTTTTCCGGTATCCGCTTGGGTCGACGCCCGAATGTTACGCAAAGTTTGGTCGTAGACATTTTGAAGCCTTTTGTTTCCAAATTGATTTCATGGTACGTACCACTTACAGGCCTGAAACATTCACAATTAGATGTTGTACATAGAGATCAAATGGACCTTTGCAACGGTTAGTTTAATCTCGCATAGAACGTACTATATTATAGCCGGACCCCATGGTTTCTTCGAAAAGGTTGGGAAATTTCCATACATCATGTATTGGTTGAAATATTCAACAAAATCTTCAATTGGTGCTCTAAGCAATATGCTGTACAAAAGCTACTTGTCTGCTCAACCCGAAAAGAAACGGAATCCGAGCAAATATCGTACAGCCGGAATACAACATAGAGAACAAATCAACTTGTGGTGAATAATTCTTATGATGCATATCGTATCGACTAATGTTGGTTGGAACGTTTCAGATTTTGCAGTTGAATATCAACTGACCACAGCTACAGCTGGAGATTGAGACTGTTGAATATCAACCACATTATAACAGCGGCTGCAAAGGGTGGTGTGCTCTGGAAAGGAACCAACTTGAGGTGAATAATTCCAGCATCTTTCGCACTTTAAGCCCTCGGCGCGAGACACTCCAATCCAGACTTTGATGTTTTCTTCGATGAGGTACTCTCCTTTGTGCGGTATATTCGCAATCAGCTCCTCCTCCAAGGACGGGAGAACCTCTGCCTGCAAGCATATAAACATATATTTCGAATGTGCACATAAGTAATAATCGAGTTCCTCCTCAACAATGTAATTATTTTGTTCTTGACCATCACGAGAACCCATTGTATGCTGAAAACATCAATATACTTACTTGAGATGTAATGAAAATCCGATTCAATGTGTCTGCATCGTTGTCGGCTGCAGAAATTTCAACTAATCTAGAGGCCAGACTGGAATCAGAAGTGTGGAGGTAGACCTTGGCATCTAAACTAGAGCCAATTAGCTTTTCCGTACGAGCAACCTCCAGAACTTTATTCACCTCAGTTCTCAACTGGTCACAAGCGCATACGCATTAGAAACAGGTGAAACACATTGAGACAGATATCAACACGTCATTTTTTTTTTCAATGTTCCAAGAGCCATCTTCTAACTTAGGAATCTAGATTTATCTGCATTATTTCACACGTGAATACATGTTTTCGATAGAATAAACAAACAAGAAGATCTAAGTTTATGATATCGATTATATTTTGAAAGAAAACCAATAGGCACAACAGTTTAAATTTTTCAAGGTTTCCCTTTAAACAATTCAGTTGTGATATAGCACAAGGCCATGCACTGTTCGAACCCCAAATTCTACAGAATGGTGATTACCTCAAGAACTTTTTCCCAGAAATCAGTTTCCTCTTTCGAAAGAGAGAGCCATGTGTTGTTCAAAGCTGGCCATCTTGATTCAAAAACAAATTCAGCAGCAGAGCCATCTTCGTCAGTGTACTGGAACGGAAGGTTTTGCCATACATCTTCAGCCAAATGAGGTAATATTGGAGCAATCACTCTCACTACAGATAGGAGAAGTGCTGCAAGAACTGTTTGACAACTTCTCCTAGTAAAACTTGTTGTGCCCCTGAAAACGATAAACCATGCGTCGTCACTAAATCTGGGCTTAAAATTACAAGATCGCAACCCAACGTTTGAAGGTCTACAGAAAATGAAAACTTGCAATGTAAATGCATATGAATATCACAAGGGTCATAGAATGAGGATACAGGAGTTAAGCACATGCATAGAACTAGTACATTGAGCAAGGGAAGAATTACCCAACATAAAGGCGATCTTTGGCGACATCAAAATAGAAATTTGAGAGGTCAACAACGACAAACCGCTGTATGATCTGAAAATAAGCAGAAAGCTAATTAAATAGTTGCAAGAAAAGTTCTCCAGCTAAATTAAGGGCTAAGTTGTCACAGAACCAGGAATCAGTAGCAACAACCCCTGAGAGACTATCTACTGCTGCGCTTTTTAAATGAATTTTCCAGTGGTTCAGATTGGCATCTCAGTATGAAACCAAGAATGGTGGATTTATTTCTAAGCTTTCTTTCAAAGGGGACATAACCCACCATATATTTACAAGCTTTTCTTCAAATTATTTGGTATATGTACCAAACTGTCAACCATACTGGCAATTGTATGCTGCTTTTATGAATTGGCACAATCTCAGTTTCAGTAAAGCTCTGTGATTTATCCTTTCTCATTCAACTCCCAATTTTCAGAGAGGGATGATCTCTAAAGTTGCTACATACATGAGTATATATTCTAGGAGCCATTTCGAGAAACAAAGTCTCACTTACAACGCTATCATCTAATTGAGCATAAAAATGTATGCTTTAAACAGAAACATAACTAAATCAAACCAACAAGAATAACAAAAAGTTCACCTGAAATATCTTGAAGAATTGATAATTTTCATAGCACTCTCTACTGTTCTTCACAAAATTTTCAAGCTGAAACAGCGCGTACTGATCAATCATGGGAAGATCGTGGTATGCGATAGCATTATCAGCCTGCCAAGAGGATGTAGTTATATATAAGTGAAAACAACAGACCGAGATAAAACTGTCTGAAACTGAATTCTTACTTGCAGCATAAACATACAAAAAGAAATAAACATCTTTGAAATACTAGTTGATGCATGAGAGAGAGAGAGGACAATTACAATATTTCAATGAAATATATTTATCCATCAAAAGGTAGAAAAGATTGAAAGTCTTAAGATAACAAAAGTGTAGAACTTTTAATTGAGTGAAACTTGTTAACTCAAAAGCACTAATTGTGAATGTTGAACATACATTCCAATCATGAAGATTTCCCAAAAGGTATCTCAATGTTCCTCGCATCTTCCTATAAATATCTGACATTTGACGGAGAATTTGGGTGCCGATTGTTACATCGCCCGTATAATCTACACTAGAAACCCAGAGACGCAGGACATCGGCTCCATAGCCATCCTGCCAGAAGAAGAACAAGACTTTAGTATCCAGATACTGTTGAAGATTGGTTCAGGTGGTTACTGAGTAGGTTTAAATTTACTTTACTGACCTTTTGGTTCTTGCCTCCTTCAATCACAGTCCGTGGATCTACTACGTTACCCAAAGATTTGCTCATTTTCAAACCTTTCTCATCCAATACAAATCCATGTGTTATAACACTGGAATATGGAGCCTTTCCTGTAACGAAGAAAAGTAACAAATTCATGTGGTGTCACTGTTTGAAACAAATACTTCTCTGTAAAATGAAATCAGCCTCCGTGGCTTAGAATCCATACATAAGAATGAACACCTGCACATAAACAAGTATATGCATTGCTTAACTCTTTCAAATTATATACCATTTCCCTCTATGTTCAACTACCGTTGTTAGAGACTAAAGGCTACATTGTAGTCACTACAATGCTGCAGTCAAGATATTTAATTCCAAAGATATAACCTATCAACCAATCTAAGTCTGGTTCGCATTCTCAACATACTATTCTTATTCAACTATGATGCCAATGCTGAAAGAGCAAGGGTATGAAGATAATGCAATGGAAGGATTAACGTGGCCTTTTAACCATATTTATCCTACATAAATCATGCACCCAAAAAAAATCACATATGTTTCCTACAACATATGTGATTCTTTTTTCCGTCAAAAGACTCAACTGCTTTACATAAGAGTACAAACTACATTAGGTATGGGTGACAGACAGAACCACAGGATGTTTTGTCTTAAATAAAGAACACTACTTCCAATGAAAATGTGTGCGACTTATCCCCAAAATTAATAACAATTCAAACACAAGGAGTAATGCACAAATGTGCTACTTAAACAAAATAAAACGAAAAATTAAACAGCCAGATTCATTGTTATATTGCATAGTGAAGATAAATGAATATGTCCCGACTCTCATTACCTTTAGTAGCAATACTTGTTAACAAAGAACTCTGGAACCACCCACGATGCTGATCCATACCTTCAAGGTACAAATCTGCCGGAAGACTATGGCTATTTCTTTTTCCCAATACTGCAGCCCAAGAAGAGCCTGAAAATAGAATGTATCCATTTACTTAAATCCATGTAAAGAGACATAAAAAAATTAAATTAAATTATAGCACTGAAAAGGTTAGATGCAAGTTATGTCCATACATCCGAAGTAGTAAACACATACCGATCCCAATATAGAATATGGTAAGGGAAAAGGCAAAGTTCAATTATATTCTGGAATATTTGACCCTAAAAAAAATATGTTCTTGAATAGGAAAGGCAATATACATCAAAACCGACAACTAACCATTATATGTACCACATACCAGCAAAACAATCAATTGTGTTTCAACCAAACGAGTATAATTACATACATGAACATGATAAAAATGACCATGGCGATACAAATGGATTGAGATGCAAAATGAGATATTTCAAGACTGCCCTTCTGTAAGGAAAATACAAACACCAATGATGAAATTATCTATATGTATTCATAGCAAGCAATAAAGAATATTCTTATAAAGCAGCGGAAGATAGAGTTGACAAAGGTTAAATAATTACAACAATAATACCTGAATCAAACCATACATCCATTGTATCAGTCCCCTTTTCATATTCAGATGCTTTATCACGATATTTATCAGGGAGGAGATCCTCCACCTTCATGTACCACCATGCATCACTACCCTTTTCGGATATTATAGCTGCAAAAATAGGTGACTTGACAGAATCAAAATACACCATTCATCTTTAAAATTAAAAGTAAGCTAATCAATTGAGCAGTCTGTTTATACGGATATTGATTGATTGATCTATCTAGCTATCTCCTTATAAGTACTAAAATAACACAAATACACACCCGTGTGGGCACAGACGGACAGACATGCATTAGCAAAAATGAGAAAACCCTCATATCATATGCAGTTAGATATATACCCTACTGATGCTCAACTAAAGCACATATTAACTTCTTTAAGATCTTCATTAGACAATATTTTTGGCAATGAGTAGACAGAAAGTGAAGTGATATCTATATGGTTCTTACACTTGATATAGTCAATAGTCTCTTCATTCATCAGAGGTTCCTTTGAATCGACATGATAAAAGACTGGAATTGGAACACCCCATGTCCTCTGCCGCGATATACACCAATCAGAGCGGCTAGAAGTCATTGCAGATATTCTGTTTTCTGCCTGAACAAACAATGGCCATGCACACTAATGTAAATCCAGAACTATAAATAATGTTTAATTCTACAACTGTTAAATCGGTAAAACCCCTAGGAAAAGATAATACATAAGCTTCATATTTCCAAGCACATTTTCCATCTAGGCAGGTGGAACTGGATCAATTATTAAGTTTAACGAAGGCGAATCAGGTTACTTGTCCTAAATATGACTGAAATATTTATTAAACTTAGTGTAAGTTGAGGAAATGCAGTTGAAGTTGTCATATCAGGACTGACTACTGAGAAACACTGCAAATACAAGAATTCAGATTCTGCTAGATGATGAAGCAATGTTGAAAACAACAAGCTAGCAAAGGGCACAATTAATTATGTAAGAGTCCAAGATAATTAATATGACCTTATTATTTATATAATAAATAGTCAAAGAAGACTAGTCCATTATGCCGTCCTGACCAATACCTTAGATGGAATCCATTTTACACGACCAATTGCATCCATAACAGCGTCACGAAACCCTTCTACTGAAGCAAACCATTGCTCAGTTGCCCTAAATATTGTTGGCTTTTTTGTTCTCCAATCATATGGATACTTATGTTCTGCATAGCAGAAGGAAGAGCTTGTCACTGACTCAGCTTGGTATAACCCGGAAGAAAAAATAATAGGAAAGTTCCCTAATTATCCGCTCAAGTGGAAGGAAAGAAACTTACTGTAGGATTCTTCCATGATAATTGATAAATGTTCATCCAAGTATTTCACAACAGCAATATTACCATCCGCAAGCACATCAAGCCCACAAAACTTTCCAGCTTCTTCAGTGAACTTTCCATCATCATCTACAGGAGAAAGCATAGGTAGTCCGTGCTTCTGGCCAGTGACATAATCCTCCTGACCATGTCCAGGAGCTGTATGGACCAGTCCTGTTCCTGAGTCCGTTGTAATATAATCTCCTCCAATGACAACCGGGCATTCCCTATTAAATATCGGATGGACATACCTGAAATGAAAATTAGATATCACACAGTCAATAGTTTTCAGTTTCATCTGTGATGGAAACAGGGAGATAACTATGTTAAATATATCTTCTTCATAGGTATCTTTTTAAATTCGTAACCTGCAGTTTTCCAGATCTGAACCTGACACCCTTTTCCTAACAACAAGCTTCACACCCCATTTTGCTTCTAACACTGGCACAAGATCTGAAGCAACAATTAGGAAAGGCTTCTTTTCTTCCTTCAAAAGATTTCCAGGCCTTCCCTTTTTAATTCCATCAGATAAAGAATCTTCTGGGACTGACTGTACTTCAACAATGGCATATAAAAGCTTGGCATTCACTGCAACAGCTGTGAAATGAAACAGGGAGAGTAAAATTATTACTTAGAATGATCAAGGCAGTTGCTCATATCTACAAGTGAGAATGCTTTATTATGTAGGAAAGAAAACACATATTAATTATTACGAATTACTAGAAAGATTAGAATTCTTAATTATGTAGCAACTAGCAAGTTCTATTATAAGTGAGAAGTGGCAAAGATTATAATGGTACATTCTCTTCAAAGTCCGTTCATCCAATATTCCAAATCAAGCTAAGGCTTAATTACAAACAGTTAACCTTGTCCCATACACAAGGCATAATGTAAACAGATTAAGAAAAAAAATTGACTGATTAATAATGACTAAGATCAAGAAGTTTGTACTGCAAAATCAAAGCCGAAGAAATTTAGCAAAATAACTACAGGCAGCTTCAGTAAACAGCTTATTTATACAGAATAGAGATGAACATAAACATAACTCTTTCTATTTGTAGAGCCTTATTCACACACAATGATATACCACAGTTGTGGTACTTTTCTGATGAGTTTTAACAAATACTTATGCTTTAGGAGGCTGTTATTGCCTTGAAATCCATAAAAATAAAAAAAAGAAACTACTATAATTAATAAAAACTGTAATAATATGCTGCTACCAATATTTTAGCAATTTGAAAAAGGCAGCAAAGAAACTCACCAGCATTGGCTGGAATAGTCCAGGGAGTAGTTGTCCAAATGGCCAAGCACACATCTGGGAAATACTCATTTAATAAGCCACCTGAAGTAGGAGAGGCACTGACCAATTTGAAAATGGTGTATATGCTTCTCGAAACATGCCCCTCCGGATACTGTATATAAAAGTTTCAGTCAAGTAATAGGAACTATACCAATACAATGTAAGAAAGCAAAATCAGATAATACATGATAAGTGACGTCCTTTTACACAAGGATCACAGAAAAAGTGGATTCACCTCCAGCTCAGCCTCTGCAAGAGCAGTTCGTGATGAGGGGCTCCAGTGAACTGGTTTCTTGCCTCTGTAGATAAAACCTTGAAGGACCATCTGGCCGAACACTTCTATCTAGGAAATGATATGACACAAGTGAGATAAACTTGTATGGACTCAGCAACATATAGGATCAATATCCTTAACAGAATGATGAGCAAGTTTAGGTCATTTTTCATATATTACTTCTTCTTTCTTTGTAATTTCTGTTAGTAAAAGAAATGCTATATGAAGTCTAGAAATCTCTTTACCACAGTATAGGATTGTTGACAATCTTCTACAAGTTACATTCAGTTTAATTGTCTACAAACAAAAGCATGAGCATTGTGACTACCTGCGCGGCTTCATATTCTGGATCAAGAGTGAGATAGGGATTATTCCAATCTGCCCACACTCCATAACGCTGCAATCAGATGAAACAATTAATCTTCAAAAATATTCCAATCTGTTTAAATACTAAATCCTTTATTATTCTTTTTCCTTTTCAAAATGAAAACTCAACATCCTAACAACATAACTAAATTGCAATTTATACCTGAAAGAGCAAGAGAATCATCTCCAAAGAATCACTCTAATAGAGCCAAAACACAGACAAATAATATGAGACACGATAAAGGGTATTTACCTTAAATGATTCCATCTGAGTTTTAACGGTTTGCTTGGCAAATTTGGCTGCCTTTGCTCTCAACTTTATTGGTGTTAGATCCTTTCGAGCAGCTTGATCAAGTGATTGAAGAACTGAAATGATCAAAATGATGCTGAAGTCAATCATCACATGCACCAAGGAAAATAAACCTATTGTACTTAACTGGATTTTTCCACTTCTCTTTCAAATAAAAAATAAAAAATAAAAACCTTGGTTTCTACCAATGAAGGCAAGTTTAAGAGAAACCGAGAGGATTTTACGCTTCTTCAACTTGTTTTCCCTCTAAAAGTGGTTTTCATGATACAGAAATGAATATGAACGAAGCAGTACTTGCCTTTCAACTCAATTGGCAAGCCATGACAATCCCAACCAGGCACATAATGAACTTTATAATTTTGAAGAAGCTGCCCACAGAAAAAGAATACAGGAATGAACTTTACTTATTTTTGTAAAAGGGTCGTTGAGTTTGACAGGCAATCAAATGTAGCTTAGTTTGCATGTTTAAAGAGGACAGGAGCTGGGTTTACGTAACTAAAGCTGTTTTGTTTTATTTCTTTTAGTATGTTAATAGAATAATTCATTGAAATATTAGTTGAATAAATAACTGTAAAGCAGCATGAAATTCTCATGCTTTTTTATTTCTTAACCACCACCCAAAGTAGAAATGTATAGACCTATTCTGATACTTAAAAAGAACTGTAGAACAAATGAAATCCAGATATCACCATGTTATTCAAATGAGAGCTAAAATTGTTGTGCAAGCCTTCAATTCATTTTGTTGTTCAAGACTCAAGAGTGCTAGAATATTAACATTAGCATGAATACGAAAAGCTAGCAAGCAATTGGTGATCTGGAACAATCATTATTTATTATTAAAACTTGGTTTACCAATACTATTCAGTTTCCAAGATGTTAACAAGGTAATTTTCTTTCTGTTGGGTGTTCCCACCCCCTTTGTTTACTAAAAAGGTTGTTTTGTTTGTGATGAAATGCCAAATGTATGTAAACGTATCATAGTGAATGGATAAGTAGAGGAGGAATATATACCTTATAACGATTGATAAAATCCTTTAAAATCTTATTTAAAGCATGGCCTATGTGAAGATCTCCATTGGCATACGGAGGACCATCATGAAGAATGAAATTTTCCTGTCCAAGAAAGTAAAAGTTTGCCATTAAGTCATGCCAGGTCAAAAATACCTAAATACAAGAAAGGCATGGCATGAAGCTCACCCCTGTATTTTTACCAACAACTTTCTTGAAAACTTGATTGTCATCCCATATTTTTTGGATTTCAGGCTCTCGTGTTAAAGAGTTTGCTCTCATGCTAAATGATGTCTTTGGCAGTTCAACCGTGTGCTTGTATTTTCCCTCTTCTTGCTTTTTCCCTAAACAAAAAAAGGAGTATCGTGTTTGGCTTTCGGACAAAATTTACAACTAGTTCGGTTTTCGGACAAAAAATTTAAACATTTGAAAAGGAATTCTCTAGAAATCATGTGGTAGATCAACACTGTAAGCACCCAATTTCAAAAAAAGAATAATAACACACAAAACACCTTCAGCTACTTTCTTTGCGGCCATAACAGGTCCTCGAGATCTTCGCTTTGAGGAAGAACCAAACTCATCATTGGAAAAAGCAGAGTAGTGCGCCATGTTAAGGAGAGAGAAAACTTTAACTGAAGACCTGTCTCTGAAATAAAATAAGCCAACAGAAGCTGTGCTCCTAAAAGATGAGCAAGTTCTTTGTGACAGAACCTGATCAAGTACAACACAATTTAAGATGGAGTTAGATAAGATACAAATCCAATGTTCAAATGACCAATTGAACTCAATTATGAATCAAACAGTTTATTCAAGTATAACTATGTCGAAAGAAGTTCAGAAGAAGAAAAGGAAAGAACAATTCAGAACTCTGAAGGTCATGTAAGACGTGTGGAAGGAAATCTAAATTTCTTTGTTAATATTAAGTCACAATTTAGTTCACAGTTAGTCATTCGCACCAGTGATTTAGTTCGGTTGTCGAATTCCAATTAGAAGCTAAGAGAATTTATAGTGTCTTTGCACTCTGTAATATAGAAAGAAAAAAAGAGCCAGTTTCCAGAATTAGGAAAATCAGTTCTGTCTGCTCTTATTTTTAGAATTTAAGCTACAAGCAGCAGAAATTTCATAATCTTTTTCTTCTATTTGCATCAAAATTCAATGAAAACTCCAACCATGGAGAACACAATCGAGACGTCTCTATGTGACATTCCATCAAGCAACTGGTGCACACCACAAGAAAAGAGCCCAAAAATGCCTCATACTCCCATATGCCGGTAAAAATATTAACTTTATGCAAACAGACACACCGGAATCGTAATCCACTTTCGGGCACAACTCAAACTAAAAAATCCGAATTCAAGCACATTATCACTTCATAACCAGAACCATTTGACAAGCAAAAATTACAACTTTAAAAAGGTAACACAAAAACAAGACGCTTTTTGATTTGTTACTGATCCGGAAACCCTTTTCAACGACTTCAGAACTTGGTTCGAAAGGAAATGTTGGAACAACACACAAAGCTTGAAATGTCAAACCAAACTTCCAAGTCTCTCTAATTTTTCCCAACACTTTCTCGGGAAACAAACAGAAAACTGCGAGCTCAAAACAAGTGTTTGCGTGTGTGCGCGTTTATATCCAATACAGATATGTATATATATGTGTGTGTGTATATATATATGTCTCGTGCGTGTGTATGTATATACCCTGTAGGGGCAGGTCTGAATCACAGCCATGGCGGCTTCCCTGGGTTGGAGCGCCCAAGAGTGGGCGGCGAAGGATTTGAAGTTCATTGGAAGAGCAGCTTCTTCTCCATTTTTGGGGACTGTGACCGAGGAGTGTTAGCAGAAAGAGGGAAACACCATACGGAATGCGGATAAAACCAGCCAGAACCTTGCAAGTTACAGCCGTTTGTTTTTTCCGGTTCGAACCCGTCAAAGAAACGGGTAGGGTGGACGTCTCAACCCATTTATTTTTAATTTTTAATTTCTCACATATTCTTTCTCCTTTTTTTTCACCTCGCATGTGGTTTCTTAGTAGTACGGTTTTTTTTTTCCCTTATAGCTTTTTTTATTTTTGACTTTTGAATTAAATAAATCAAGTAATTAGTAGTACAATTTAGAGATCCTTCTTTTTATGAAAAGTCAAATTTTATTTTTATTCATGGCGAGTTCGAACAAAATTATTATGGCTGAATTATTATACGACTTAAATAAAATACATACAACACACAGTGATAATATATCATTGTATTATATAAATCACAAAGCAATTAACAATCATGAGACAAAAATTAACATGGTATGCAGAAAATATATCCTTCTATTCTCCTAGCTTCATAACAGTGTCTTTTAATACAAACAAGAGTCTATACATAATTAATCTATATTATGAGAAGAGAAATTTAAATATGGTTACAGATTACATATCAACTTGGCTATGCTTAAGTCTGTTGATAAAAATTTAAACATTTAATTTCTTAAAGAAAAATTGAGTGGTTGTCATGTTTTACAAGGAAGTCGTTAGCTTGAGGCTAGTTTGGCAGGAAAAATATATATATAATGTTTTATTATGTTTATGAGCAGAAGTGATTCATAACTTATATAAAATATTAAAACCCAATTACATAATGAGAATCGATCTATACGATACCAAATTGTGTGCCAAGTGCTAAGAGAATTTAGAAGAATTTGCAGAAGGAACCAACAAGTAAATGAGATTTTGAAGAATTAAGAAGAAGAATTCTTACACGTTTTCTATGATTGGGAATTGGGATTTGAATCTTTAAAGCTTTTCAACATGAATAATGGTGCATTAAAGGTTGGTTTATGTAAACAGAGGGCTTGTTCGTTTTAATAATTTTTAATTAAGAAAAAGGGCACCTTAATTACTTGGGGTGCAAGTCTGAAAAGATAGGATAAACAATTAGAAACTTGGAGTGCAAGGCTGAATAACTTTGACCCCTTTACTTTTGAAAGCTCAATTGAAACGATTTATGCGTTGATCCTTGCGCATGGACCATGCTAATCTTTTCTGTGTCGTTTCAGTTCTATCAGATGTTCTCGAAGAGACGACAGACAGAGTAGATAACTTTGGGAATGACTGAACTCAGACATGATGTACAACAACTTCAATACGTAGTTTTGGTTTCATAAACAGAGTGCTAGACATTGAAAATTAGTGACAAGTACAACCAACAGCAAAAGGAAAACTACACCTATTATCTTGAGTTTTGAACACCGAATCTCGGGCGAAAAATCCCAAAGATTGAAGCCGCAACTGAAAGAATCCCAACAAGTGCAACTTGGAGTTGGTTTGAACTGCCCGTCTTTATAGCAATTTTGCCCCTTTGCTTGCTATCCAGTACAACATGAACAGCCATTTGACAATTCCGGACAGAGAACAGAGACAGTATGTCGGCTGTTAAAACAAGACCACCTCCCCACTTCATCAGAGACAAACCCAAGCTGGTTGGGTCCTGTCTTCTAGGGAAATCCTTGTCGTTGAGACGCACCTCCAATTTGGCTCCATGTGCTGTATCACCTTCAAATTGCAACGCTCCAGCACTTCCGGCCAAAACCAATTGCTCCCCAATAGCCAACTGGTCCTCAAACTTGAGTCCGGTGACCATATTTTCATCTGAAAGTGTTACAGTTACCTCAGCTGCTGTTCCATTTATGCTGAAACTTTCGACTTTGGTCTCATCCCTAAAGATGTGACTGCGTGTCGCGGAGGAACTTGGCGTGACCAATTTAAGGAAATCCCTACACAGTGCATATTCAAATCTATCACACTTAGTAGCTTCAGACAAATCGCCATTACCCAAACATACAATCTCCTGAACTGGATTTGGCTCTGAATATGTCATCAAGTCTCCAATTTGATCTTTATTCTCCTCAACACCAAAATCAGTTCTTGAATGCTTTCCTCTTTCGGGTGCCTCAGAACTTCCACTAGAATCAACACCACTCCTTTTGCCATTAGTGCAATGCACGACTGATTCATCTGCCGCATACTTGCCTTTCTCTGGTCCTCTTTCAAGTCCCTTGTTGATCTCAACAGCAGGAAGACCATTATCTTCAATCCTTTGCGCTTGAATAGACCGTTCAATGACCGAGGACTCTTTCGACAGCACCGGCCCCGATTCTTCTCCTTCAAGAACTGAAACTCTAGATGTGATAATAATCTTCTCCCCAAACAGACCGAAACTGATCTGTTCTTTCTCTGTAGGGAATTCCTTCTCCTTGAAAAGCACTTCCACTTTGGCTCCATATGCTGCTGTTTCACCTTGAAATTGCACAGCACCAACATCTTCCGCCCCATTGTTGCATAAGAGAGGTACAGATAGCGAACTCAGTGTGATTGATTCAAGTAAATCACTACACAGTGCATTTTCAAATTCATCATCCTTAGTAAGTTCAGATAAATTACAATTTTCCAAATACAAACTCTCGGGAACTAGATTCGGGTGCGAATTGGTTGTCAAGTCCACATTCTGATTTTCATTCCCCTCAACACCCAAATCAACACCATTACTCCTGTCGCTATTCGGGCAATGCACAAAGCATTCTTCTGCCACATACTTGCCTTTCTCCCCTTTTTCTGATACACTAACGCTCAATTCCGCAGAATTTCGACCGTTATCTTCAATCTCAGCAGCAGCAACATCATTATTTTCAATCCCACTTTTGGCTTCGAAAAAATTATTCAAATCCGAACCCTCATCAGCTTTAAATCCCTTTAAATTTGCAACAGGTTCAGCTTGTTCAACCACCAAAGACTCTTTCGACTTCACTAACTCTTCTTCTTCTTCTCCTTCTTCAACCTCGAAAATCTTGACCCTCGGCGCAACACTAAGCTTCTCCACAACCCCATTACCCGGAACCTTAACCCGAACCGAAAACTCCCCGTCTTCCACTTCACTCAAAACCCCATCACTACCCACCACACCATCATCATCACTCTCCCATGACAACTGAGCAACGGGCATAACCCTCCCCGAGTCACCCACCATAACTTTCTCAACAACAGGCTCGAACCCATCATCCGGGTCAGCCACTAAAGGCCAGGAAAGCTCGTATCTTTCGACAGGACCGAGAAATTCCTCATCTGGGTCGGCCAACAGCGGCCTCTCCGATGCCGTTTCGAACTCCTCCCCAGTCACGAAGGCCTCGGAATCAGATTCACTACTACTAATATTACCACTAGAGCTATAACCCAATTCTTGGAACTGGGAATCGTAATCGGAATCGGAATCAGGGGTAGGAGGAGCTCGGATAGAGAGCGAACCTGAGAGTGAAGAGGTGCGGGAAAGAGCAAGCTTGTGCGGCGGCGGGTTGCTGGATTGGGCGGATACCAGAGTCCCTTGTGCTGCAGAAAGACGGACAGAAGGCTTTGAGGAGTCCATAGATCCGAGCTTCTGCGCTTGCAAAAAGCAAAAAGATTCAGCAGCTGCCAAAAGCCGAAAGGGATTTTGCTTGTTGGGTTTTAGAAATTTGGATTTATCTTTTTCTTTCCCTCGACGACTTTTTCAATGTTATTCGTGTTTTCTTTTCTTTCGACAATTTCTATGTTTTTAAAGTGTGTCTTTGCGAGCAAGGCTAGCAGCGTGTGACAGATCATATCCATACCAGCGTGTGAGCAAGGCTAATTAGCTTAAGCCGCAATGGGCGCACGCCTAATTTTGATGATTATCGTCCTCATCGTATAGTTACATCGACCTACCAAGCTACTCCATTAACAAATTGTGATTAACGAAAAAGACAGTTGTTTGTAAACAGCAAGCATTTACTTCCACGCTTTCTTCCTTCCGTCGATATGGGACTGAAGACGCTTTGTTTGTAAACAGCAAAAGTTACTAAAAGGGCCGAGTCCAAATAGCCGAACCATTGAATCTGTGACTCGAGAACTAACAACCAGCATGAAGAAGAAATCAGGCTGCAGATCAGTTTGTCTAATATGCTAAAACAAGTATGGCTGATTGCAATTAGGCGGAAGAGGTAGCCCCTCAGATTATCAAAGGGTTCCTTGACACTGACCTTAAGTCCTAGCATCTAAATTATAACCATTCAACCCATCCGAGCGTAGGTCCAGAACAAGAACCACTAGCAGTCTGAATCTAAAAATCGGTGACTTCCCATACCATACCTACTTACAACCTCTATATAATTCAATCCTGTTCACACAGAGACTAAAAATTTAAACTATATTTGGTGGGGTGCGCCAGCCCGAGCAGTAGTGCAACGCTTGGGCGACACGCGAGGATCCCAGCAGCAAGCTACCGTGGTGGATCCTCCCCCTAAAAAAATAAATTTAATATCGTGTGGACCATTGGTCCACGTATCAGATATTAAACTGATAAGAACAGATACTACACTTGATCTTAGCCAAAAGGCCGAGAAAGGTATGCTTCTTTCGGCTTTGGAATGTGGCTTTTATAGGCCTGTTTGCTTGCTCACTTCTCTTGCGCGGCCGATGTGGGATTCTAACCTTACAAAAAACAAAGCGTCTTGCCGCGAGAGCTGCTACTTGTGAATCATCTCTGGCTTGAACTACAATATAGCCAGATTGAATTTGGGGTTATACATACATATATTTGTGGACAGTGATCAAATGTTAATTGATTAAACAAAGATAATTTCTACAACTTGGCAAATAAAAAGGTACAATCCCTCAGCTTCCTATCAACGGAAAAATTGTTTATGATGATGCAAGTCCTTGCCCTGGATATAATTTCAAAATACGTAAAAAATTTGACATTTACTTCACACAAACTTGAAAAAACATCATTAGCACCCAGATTAATGTTAGGTCTTCTTCAATGTGTCGATTTTCGGGTTGTTAATTGCTATATGCTATAATATGGAACTTCAACGTCTACAATGCACCCTAATGCATTAAAAGTTGGAAGTGCAAAATTCGGTACAATATTCTGTCATTTTATTCATTTCCTATTTTCTGATACCCTAAGCAATTTGATCATATCTTGCCTTAGTTCACTTAGACATCTCACATTTGGCTTGAAATATATTATGGTACCCTAAATATAGTATTACTATTAGAGATGCTGAATGTGCATTTATCCTTGTAATTGTATTATTCATAAAATAGTGAAAATTCCTCTCTTAGATCTTAAGTGCCCCTTTTTTTTTTGTTTCTCACTCGCTCATGCCTAAATCTTGTCGAGTTGCATATATTTAGTTGTACGAATGAGCAGTAAATTGTTAAATTGTTAATACAACACTTAAATCAAAATTATACAATAGAATAATAAAATTAGGCATTTTGTAACTATTTTTTTAGCATTCGTAAAAAAATTAGCTTTATTTGTCACAAAAAAAAAGCTTAAATTTTTTAAGATGTCCCTCTTAGTTAAATTTCTGGTTTCATCTCTGATTATTTTCATACACGACATTATAAAATGTTTAAAAATTAGAATGGGCTTTACCCTGAGTGGAAAATAAAAAATTGGACCACAATCCAAATAGTTGCTGAAGATGTTTGTAAACAGCAAAAGCACCAAGAAATAGGTGAACCATTGAATCTGTGACTCTCTAACTAATAACGAGCATAAAGAAATAAGGTTGCTGATACATCAATCTGTCTACAACGTCAAGAGGTTAGAAATTAAACCAAGATATTGAATTATAGAACAAGCATGGCTGCTAGCAATTTGGGAAAAGATGTAGAGCCCTGACCTGGCATAATTTGTATACCCCTCAGCTTATCAAACGGGTTCGTTGATAATAACCTAAATTCCTAACATCTAAATTAACCATTCAAACACCATCTGAGCGTAAATTTGAAAGGAGAATCCGTTGTCGTCATCACTTTGCCTGCAAGAAAAACCGAAAAAATTGTGACTCAAATTGTGGGCAGCCACAATAGTGAATTAGAACTTCTGATGGTTAATTGCACTTGGGAACTTGGTCTGTAAAACATTGCAGAACACCAATGTTAATTATATCAAGGGGAGGGAATATGGTTTGTGACAATCTTAGCACCTCACAAGCTAGTGAGCAACGGCTACCTTTTAATGGGTTATAGCGTAGTGCAACGAGTGACCCGATAAT